TTTGCCTCCCACGCCATAATACATATTGTATATTTTTTTGTAAATAAGGATGCAACATTTAAATATCAAGTATTTACTGCAAATGTACAATATATCTTGATTTTTAGAAACATAGAAAAACAAAAAAAAAAAAATTTACAGCAGAGAAAGACCAAGTGGTCCTTCAAGTCTGCTTCTTTTTTTTTTTTCTCTTCTTCATTTTCAACCTTCTTGTCTATTGATCTATGGTTGTCTGAATCATGTTTACATTTACCTACTGCTGACCAACTCATTACCTCTGCTGGAAGTTTTTTCCAAGCTTCAACTACTCTTTTGATAAAAAAATACTTTCTAGGGTTACTTCTGAACTTTCCTCCTGCTTAATTGAGGTCATGTCCCCATGTTCTTGGTCAAAAACTGTTTATTCAGAAAAATATGCTGATCATTACAAGAAATAGAATAGCATTTCCTAGTAAACAAGCATATGTAACACAGCATTATGATCAAGTTAAATGCTGGTAAGAAAAATACAGGCAGTAAACAATGAGGGACTCAAATGTACTTGCGAGTAAAATGTGGAAAGTGCAAGTTTATGCCTGTAGCAATATAAAAATCACAATTGTTTATTAGTAGCGCTCATCAAGAGCATAAGAGAAAAAGAAACTACAATATGTGCGATTTCTAAAGTAGTTCTTGCATTACTTTTTCTGCAGTTTTGTTACGATTTCACATACATTATTATTATTATATACAGGATTTATATAGCGGCAACAGTTTGCTCAGCGCTTTACAATATAAAGGGAGACAATACAGCAATGATACAGTTCAATATAAGAGGGTTAGAAGGGCCCTTCTCCTGGGAGCTTACAATCTAAGAGGGAGGGGTTGGTGGTACAAAAGGTAAGGGAACTGATAGGAGGAATAGAAGATTCCAATATTAGCTGAAGGCAGGATAGGCTTCCCTGAACAGATAGGTTTTCAGAGATCGCCTAAGAGTGGGCAGAGTAGGCGATAGTTTGATAGATTAGGGTAGAGAGTTCCAGAGGATGGGGGAGGCTCTGGAGGTGAACATGGCAGGAGAAGACAAGGGAGCTAGATAGCAGGAGGTGGTGGGAGAAGCGGAGAGGACGGTTTGGGTGATATTTGGAGACAAGATTGGTGATCTAAATTTGGGACTGAATTAAAAATGGCTTTATATGTTATTGTTAATGATTTGAATTTTATTCATTGGGCAATGGGAAGCCAGTGGAGGGATTGGCAGAGAGGGATGGCAGATATGGAATGGCTAGTAAGGAGGATGAGTCTGGCAGCAGCAGCATTCATGATAGACTGAAGAGGGGATAGCCTGCGATGAGGTAGGTCATTGAGGAGGGAGTTACAATAGTCAAGGCGAGAGATAACAAGGGAGTGAATAAGTTGCTTAGTGGTTTCAGAGGTTAAAAACGGGCATATCTTGGAGATGTTGTGGAGGTGAAGTGTACAAAATTTGGACAGCTATTGGATTTGGGGCTGAAAGGACAGATGGGAGTCTAGGATTACACCTAGTACCCTGGCATGAAGGGAGGGACTGATAGTTGTATTATTGATCTTGATGGAGAAGTCAGGGGAGGGGGCTCGGGCTGGAGGGAATAGTATGAGCTCTGTTTTGGAAAGATTGAGTTTGAGGAAGTGGAGTGACATCCATGCTGATATGTCACTTAGTAGGTTAGTAATGTGAGAGGAGACTGAAGGGGTGAGGTGAGGATAGAGTATAATGGAAATCGCACAGGAAATTGCAAAAAATTACTGAAAAGTAGCAATGGTTTTGCACAGAGCAGCCCAGATCCTCTTCTTTTTGGGTCCCCTGCCAAGTGCCCCCAGTAGCAAGCCTCTTGCTATGGGGGGCACTCGAGCAGGCTCACTCTCAAGCAGTTCTCCTGTGAATGGAAATTATCCATTCACAAATAAAGCGCTGCTCGGCGCGGCTCTGCCCCCTCTCTCTCTCTCTTCATTGGCTCAAGGACTGTGACTGACAGCAGCAGGAGCCACCAGTGGCTCCAGCTGATGTGTGAGCCCATGAGGATAGAGAGACCCAGGAGAGCTACTGCTCTCACACATATCACTGGATCGAGATGGGGCTCAGGTAAATATAGGTGGGTTGGGAGGGGGGAAGCTGCACCCGGAAAGGTTTTTTACCTTAAAACATAAATTGACCCACTTTAAGGAAGCCAGTTTATCTGCTACCTCTTCCTCTAGAAAACCTGAAGATGAACCCTCACCATGAGAACCAATATGATCTTTTAACTTGTTTCTTTTAGCGCCACTTACTTTTGAGAAGACAGAACAGAAGTAATTGTTTGTATAGTTTATCTGGTTCTATGTAAAGTTTTATATTTAAAAAGTAATTTTCTTCCTTTTTTATGATTTGAACAAAAAAAAAAATTTATTTTTAAAGTCAGGAAATATGAAATATTGCATAATAGTGTTTTGCATTCTGTTTGACTCATTTTATATTTTATTGCCTATAATGAGGTTTCCATCAGAATCAGTTGAAAAAAAACACAAGGCATAAATCCATAGAGCTGCCATCTTTTTAGCTAATTGTTTATGTATATTGTAAAAAATATAAGACAATTTAAAAGCTAAAAATTTACCCCAAACGATTAGTTTTTCTTTAAAGAGTTGTTAAAATTACTAAATATATGTATAAGCAGTTAAAAGATTACCATTTTTCCTAAAAAAAAAACTACTAGTATGTACAGATTCACAAAGTATGCATTTCTACCATCCTTTCCATGTCATCATATGGTTAATAACAGATTTCTTCTATTGTAGAGTATAGAGCAGCTGGTCAGAAGAGGAAACTTGGAGTAATTGCTGAGGAATAGTCACATCCCTGTCAGTTCACCATTTCATTAAAAAATATTTTTTGGACTTTCAGTTAGCTACATATTCTTAACATGCAGTTGGTGAGCTCTATAACAAACACCTGGGGGTTTATTTACTAAAATTGGAGAGTGCAAAGTCCGACTCACTTCTGCATACAAACCAATCAGCTTCTGGGTTTTATTGCCAAAGCTTAATTGAACAAGCTGAGGTTAGAAGCTGATTGGTTTCTATGCATAAGTGAGCCCGATCTTGCACTCTCCAGCTTTAGTAAATAATCCCCTTACTGTCCTCTGCAGCTATAGGTACTAAAGAGCAAGTTGACCTTAAAATCCCAGCAGTGGCTTGACAGCTTCTCAGCTTCTCAGCCTTCTAATCTCTAGTGTAAACATATACCAGTGTGAGCAGAGCCGATGATAAAACAACTTTAGGCTGATGACACACAAACTGTCTCTGTGCAAAGCATTGACTTTCTGTTGACTTAGGGTAAATGCTGCTGTCTCATCTTCACCTTAAACTGTCTCTGTGCAACGCATTGACTTTTTAAAAAACTCAGGATAATTAGTCTGTATCTTTTTGTCTGTGGTGATTGATTCTCACCTCCTTTTGCCTTTCTGTGATCAGAGAATCAAGCATCTTTTATGACTTTGGCCTGTGTCTGTTCTGTTTTTGACCAACATCTCCCCCCAATTCATGTGATCCTTATCAGTTCTTAATTGGGGCAGAGCAGAGCTGAGTTGCTCATTTAATCAGCTCTCTAATTTAGACCACCTCATGGGGGAGGTCACAGATGGGGGGCATTTTTCCTGCGTGAGTGCATTTTCTGCTGGAGTGTGAAGCAGCAGTTGAACACAGCAGTTTAACTAAAGCAGGATATCTCAAGCAGCAGGAAGATACAACAAAGAACTCTTTTCATATTAATATCCTCTGTTCTCAAAATTTTATTTATTTACCCCTCTGCTCCACCTCAAAGCTTATACATATCACCCTCACTGCTACCATCTTCCTACTACTGCTCTCATCCCCTCCTGCTGATACTGTACTCACCTGCTGACCCAAACACCAGGACAGGAAGGCATGTGCACTCACATATACATCCCACTCCCATCTTACTTTCCTCACCCTCCTCTTCTCCTAACCTCTAGGGATATCTCCCCAAACCCTGGTCCTTCCAGTATCTCACCCCCACACCAGGCACCCTCCTTCCACCAGAAATAGCCGCAATGCACTCAATTTAATCTCTATTGTCGTGCTCCTATAAACCATGCTCCCTTTTTCATGTGCACTCTGGAATGCTGTCTGTAATAAGCTCACCTCTGTCCATGACCTTTTTGTCTCCCACTCCCTTAACCTACTAGCAAATTACAGAAACCTGGCTTCAAGCATTAGATTTTGCTTCTCCCACAGCACTTTCCTATGGAGGCCTTCTCTGGACTCACTCACCTAGATGCAGTGGTCGGAGAGGTGGTGGAGTTGGTTTGCTTCTCTCCCCACTGAGCACCTTTCAAGTCCTCCCTACCCCTCCCTCTCTATCCTTCTCTTCTTTCGAGACTCACTGCATTTGGCTGTTTTCTCCTAATTCCCTTAGGTTGCAGTGATCTACCTGCCTTCTGGACAGGTGTCCCGATTTCCTGATGACTTCTCTTCTTGGCTACCCTACTTTCTCTCCTCTGAAATACCCACTATTATTCTTGAAGATTTTAACATCCCCATTAACGTGAACAACCTAGTTACATTCCAACTCTTCAACCTAACCTCATCTTTTGCTTTAACACAATGGACACAGTCCTCCACTCACTCTGATGGGAATACATTAGACCTTGTTTTCTCCCATCTTTGCACTCCCTACAACCTCGCAAACACCCCCTTTCCTCTCTCTGATCACAATCTCATCACCTTCACAGTGTCCTTGTCTTCAAACACTTATCCCTCCAAGCAGCAAACAATTACCTACTACAGTAAACAATTTTGCATTACTAACCTATTAAGTGCAATATCGGCATGGATATCACTCCACTTCCTCAAACTCAATCTTTCAAAAACTGAGCTCATACTATCCCCTCCAGCTCGTGCCCCCTCCCTTGACTTCTCCATCAAGATCAATAATACAACCATCAGTCCCTTCTCTCATGCCAGGGTACTAGGTGTAATCCTAGACTCCCATCCAGGGGTGGACTGACAACTCATGGGGCCCCCGGGCAATAGATGATCATGGGGCCCCTGTGTCCTTGCCCAAACTCAAAAAAGCCTATGAAAAAGTTACCAGGGGCATCCCATGGGGCCACCTACTGACCCCAAGCCCTCGGGCAGTGCCCGAGTTTCCAAATGGTCAGTCCGCCCCTGCTCCCATCTGTCCTTTCAGCCCCAAATCCAATCACTGTCCAAACCTTGTAGACTTCATCTCCACAACATCTCCAAGAAACGCCCATTCTTAACCTTGGAAACTACTAAGCAACTTATTCACTCCCTTGTTATATCTCGCCTTGACGATTGTAACTCCCTCCTTAGTGACCTACCTCATTGCAGGCTATCCCCTCTTCAGTCTATCATGAATGCTGCTGCCAGACTCATCCACCTTACTAACCGTTCTATATCTGCCATCCCGCTCTGCCAATCCCTCCACTGGCTTCCCATTGCCCAACGGATAAAATTCAAAACATAAACAATAACATTTAAAGCCATTTATAACTCTGCTCCAAATTACATCACCAATCTTGTCTCCAAATATCACCCAAACCGTCCTCTCCACTCCTCACATGACCTCCTGCTCTCTAGCTCCCTTGTCTCCTCCTCCCATGCTCATCTTCAGGACTTCTCCAGAGCCTCCCCCATCCTCTGCAACTCTCTACCCCCCAATCTATCAGACTATCGCCTACTCTGCCCACTTTTAGGTGATCTCTGAAAACATATCTCTTCAGGGAAGCCTATCCTGCCTTCAGCTAATAACGGAATCTTCTATTCCTCCTACCAGTCCATCCCCCACAGTTATTACCTTTTGTACCACCAGCTCCTCCCTCTTAGATTGTAAGCTCCAAGGAGCAGGGCCCTCATGTCCCTCTTGCATTGAACTGTATTGTTGTTGTATTGTCTCCCTTTATATTGTAAAGCGCTGAGCAAACTGTTGGCACTATATAAATCCTGTATAATAATAATACTTATCAGGATGACATATGTCAACTACCAATAAGTAATAAAGTACTTATTTTCGGTTTTTTCTTCCTAATAAAAGTGTAAGGGTCTGAAGGGTTCAGCTTCTAGTCCCCATCCCTCTGGGTCTGTAGTATACTCAAGATCTCCTTTTTTAGGAGGAATGCAGAATTTTGGCAATTTATAACTGTCATAGAGGAGGAGATTAGGTTTATGGGTGTGAAAATGAATTCACTATGTACCATTTTTTAACTTCAATAAATGCTTGATTTACCATGAGTGGTGCTTTGTACATTTGCATTAAAATGATAGTGTCCTCAATTTTTTATTTTTTTTTAAATCATCCTCCTGCAGTGTTATTCCATATCACTGCACATTATGTCAGACTTACCTTTTAAAGCAGAGCCTTCCAGTACTGAGCTGTCACTGCTGCCATCTTCACATAGTCCTCTTTCCAGATTCACACTCTCTGACCATTCGAATGGCAGAGCTATGATGACATCATACCTGAGCATGTGCATGGAAGTCATCATCATTCAGTGTGCCCTGAATGAAGAGTGCACTACATATGCGCAGTGACGTCATCATGTCATCAAGTCATCATGTCACTGTGTAGATACCTAAAGGTAAAACTTTTAAGCTTACCTGTAGGAACAAATTTTAAAATAGAGTTTACTTACGCTTTAACAATGTGTCCAAAAACACTATAGTGTCCATGACAAGTATCACTAACAACTATATTAATTAAAACACAAAATGGATCAGGTCATACATTTCTGGTACAACAATTTGTTATTGTAGTGCACTGCAAACAGTGTACAGAAATAATGAAGCATTGGGTCCCTGCACAGGGGATATGGATAACAAAGACAGCCAGGCCATACACTTCAAGCATGTCCCTTGGGGGGTGATTCTGTTTTGATGGCTCCATCCATAACTTGATGCAGTGTTGGAATCCTTCCTGTTTTGGAGGTACATTGAAGCCAACTTCTACATAGATGCTGTACATCGCCTATTTTGTGTGGCAGTACAAGAAACACAGCTGCTGTTAGAAACCACAGGGCCCCATACTGCCAACCTGAAACCCCCCCCTAAAAAAAAAAAAAAAAAAAAAAAAAAGTTATGATTGAACACAGTAAGTGACCGATACCGATCACTCATTGTGTTCATTTGGGAAAGGAAAGGGCTGGTAAATGTGACATATTTACCGTATTGTGTGCTTACGGTTGTCGGTGGAAAGGAGAGGAGGGAAGCTGGTAGCACTGCCCATTTAGGGAACACAGGGGGGCCTGGGCAGTAAGAGGGAATGTATGGTGCAAAAGAAGGGTAATAGGTGCAGCGGGGGGTGGGGGAAGGGAATTACTGGAACCAAGCCCCTGTCAGGCTCTCTCTGCTTCAGCTGAAAGCCAGCAGGAAGAAAAGGAGAAGAAGCCAGCTTTCAGCTGCTGCAGAGAGAGCTATACAGGGGATCAGTTCCAGGAATTGTATCCTCAGCCGTGCCAATCACCATCTCTGCCCACATCCAATTCACACATCTGCCTGGCCCCCCCTGTTGGCTTGGGCCCCGTACATAAGGACTGGTGGTACCTCTTTATCCATGGTCCTGCCTGTAGCCATACATTAACCTCTTGTTTGCATGTTTACCTCTTTTGCCCCAGATCTTGTACCAAAAGATACCAGTGTCAAAATATTGCCACCAAAAAAAATCAACTTAATTACATAGTTACATAGTTGGTAAGAGTGAAAACACCAACCTGTGTCGGCGTGTTGATGTCAAACCATTTACAATGTCCCTGTATCTTGTGTTCATTAGGATGCCCGTCTAAGAGATTTTTTTAAATTATCGGCACTTCCTGATAATTTAGCTCCCAAGTAATATGAGGTTGAGATGGGGCTATGGGAAGTATGCATCCTTGTACACATGGCAAAGCTTTGACAGATGTTTAAAAGAAATATAGAACACACAGCACCTTCGGCATCAAGTAATATGCTCCCAGATTGTCATAATATTGTCCGCCAAAGTATACGTAAAATAAAGCCACAACATTTTTTTAAAAATCTGAATATTACAAAAGTGTTTTGAAATTTGTCTGCAAGCAATAAATAATACATAACATAGGATAGCCCAAGCAGCAGTGAAAAGGTTAATAGAAAGATTACGCAAGCCTGTCAGACTATAATAAGGGATTATTTGGTATTTTATCTATAAAATGCCCTAACAGCTGCAGCTCTACATTAGTACAGGCAGGATCTTGTTACACCAGTCACAGCAGCAATGTGGACAGTTCAGCAGTGACTTAACATTTCTCTGAACATGTCTGTAAATGCTCCTGCAGACCAATGCTACTTTCATTAGGTTAGGAGTCCAGTAATCCTAAATACAATTACCCGCACATCTCCTGGCCAGCTGGCCATGGGACCGCCCCACTGTCATTGTCCAAGTAACTCCCCTGCAGTGGGAAGATCTAGCTGGCCTTGTAAGAAGATTGGAGGGTACCCCAGGATCCCTTTAGATGTGCACGTTCCTGGCCACTTCTCTGATAAAAAAAAAAAAAGACCATGGATTTTTTTAAATTTAGTTTTCATCATTTTGGTTTTCACCCAAAATGACTTTACTTTGTCTTTTTTTTTTTTTTTATAAGGCTTTCATTTGATATCAGCTGTGAAGTAATCCATGCCCTTATACATAATTAGTACACCTCCAGAAGCAAATATCTAAAGACAAAAAAAAAAAAAAAAACACCTTTGAATTCAAAGTTTACTTTCTTTCCTGTTTGATGATTTCGGCTGTCATGGATGAAAAGCTACGTTTGTTTCGTATTAATTTACACCTGTGCGGAGAAAACGTGTAGGCTGCATTGCTGACCTGTTCTAATGATAATCCAAGTTGCCTATCAAACTGATCTAAAAGCTTCAGTACTGTCTTAGACACTGACCTGCAGAAGATCAAAGTGATATTAAACCCTCACTTTTTTTTAAAAACACTTTCAACAGGTGATTTAATCACTGCCAGAGTATGCAGCTTCTTTATCTTTTAATCCTTGTGTTCCTCTTTAACCAATTCAATACCGGGCAATTTTACACCTTCCTGCCCAGGCCATTTTTCAGGTTTCAGCGCTCTCACATTTTGAATGACAATTGCGCGGTCAAACAACATTGTACCCAAACTAAACTTTTATCATTTTCTTCACACAACTAGAGCTTTCTTTTGGTGGTATTTAATCACCACTGGGGTTTTTATTTTTTGCAAAATTAACAAAAAAGTACAAAACTTTTGAAAAAAAAAAACACGTTTTTCTTTGTTTCTGTTATAAAAGTTTACAAATAAATAATTGTTCTTCATAAATTTAGGCTAAGATGTATTCTGCTACATGTCTTTGGTGAAAATAACCCAAATTAGGATGTATTATTTAGTTTGTAGGAAAGTTATAGAGTTCACAAACTATGGTATAGATCTGAATATTGATCAATCCTGAAGTACTGACAGCCAATCTAATTTCTTGAGGTCCAAGAATGTCAGAACACTACAGATATCCCCCAAATGACCCCTTTTTGTAAAGTAGACAGTCCTACGTACTTCATAAGAGGAATGGCGAGTTTTTTGAAGTTGTATTTTTTTTGTCATAATTTTTCGGAAAATGAAAAAAATTAATATATATATATATATATATATATATATTTTTTTTTTTTTTTTTTTTTTTAATTTATTTTTATTTTTTTATTATTTTTTATTACATTTTTTTTTAATTTGTTTTAAGATTTTTTTTTCATATTTTACTATGACCAAAGTAGTACAATGTTACCATAGTAACATTGTACTACTTTGGGGAAGTGATCAGTATTTTTTTTTTTTTTACACAATTTGCTTATAGCAAAGAATTACTTTGCTATAGGCAAGCATTTACCTGAATGGCATCGATTCATTCAGGTTTTTTTTTTTGTTTTTTTTGTGCTTAGCTGTGATTTGGCCACAGCTAATCACATGACATGTGCATGTGACCTGCTGTGATCATTCACAGTTAGACATTAGTATACAATGGATGACATGAATGAAGCCATCCATTGTATACAACTGTCATGTGACCTGCTGTGATTGGTCACAGCAGGTCAGATGGTACCGGCAACAGGGGCCGGTACTCAGATCTGTCATCGGCCGTGTCCGAGGTACACGGCCGGTGACAGATCGTACTGCTGCGCGTCTCTGCAACCGCGCGAACTGCGCATGTGCGGAAGAACGCCAAATGACATACACCCTGGAAAGCTAATGCATTTTTGCGGTCACCAAACGACTATAAGCCGGGGCGGCAAATGGTTAAGCTGCCGTGAGTTTCCTATTTCAGGGAGGCTCCTTTCTCTTGCTGCATCCTATAGAGCAGGGGTAGACAACCTTAAGCGCGGAGTTCCACTCAAACTGTAAAAAAATAAAAGTCAGCAGCTACAAAAACTGTAGCTGCTGACTTTTAAAAAACAGCCAGTCACCTGTCCCTCGATTCCGCGGTGTCCTTCCTGCAGCCCGTTTCACAGGCCATCCTGTGTTCCAGGCCCTGGCATCTTCAGTGTGGGCACCTGGCTGTGGCAGCTTGCGGCTTCACAGCCAGGTGCCCACTGCACATGTGCGAGAAGCGCTGCGCTTCCTGAATGGCTCCGTAGTCTTCTGGGACCTGTCACATGTCCCACAAGACTACAAGGTAGGAGGACAGCTTCCGCTTCCAATCGCCTAGGGAGCGAGAGTACCTGTCAATTTCGGGTACCTGCTCCCCAAAGGTGCCAATTCATAATGCTACCAGTACCTGTCAATTTCGGGTACCTGCTCCCCAAAGGGTGCCAATTCATAATGCAGGGCAATTGCTTGAATGGGTCATGCTTGGCTGGTGCTACAGAAATTACCCCCTGTTGCTTTGGTGGTGCTTCCGCCTATCAACCAAGATCCATTCCAGCAAATGGTCTTACTCTGCAAGTACCCTGCAACTGCCACCAACCTTGACAGGGCATAGGAGCTGGCACTACATAGGAGACATTAACCTAAGTGGCTCTTGCTCCCTACTAGAGCTCCAATTTCACAAGTAGTTCCTCTACATTGCACTCTGTTTGATGCTCTGGGATGGCATGTCAGCAAGCCCAGACCGAGATCTACCAGTCATCTGGCCAAGATCTACTGCTTGCTAACCCCCACTACAGAGCCACCCTTGCATGCAGGGACTAAAGTTGTGTCTCTCTACAATGTATACATCACAGCCCCATAGTCTAGGACAGCCTTTCTCAACCAGGGTGCCCAGGCACCCTGGGGTGCTTTGAGGTTTCTTCAGGGGTGCCTTAGCAAAATGTCTAAAAATTGCCCAAAACTTGTAAACAAGCTAGCGGGTGGAACAAGCCTGCCTTTTAGTTACACAAAGCCACAGGTTTTCATTGTGCACCATTACAACCTTCTAGCTGCCAGCGTCCTGACAATCAATGACATCATCAGTCAATAAGGAGGATGTCCGCTACCTGCACAGCAACCTAGTTTGACCCTCCCCTGCCCCTCTCCATCTGTGCTGGGGTCACATTAGCTTAGTGGTGGAGAAAAACTGAGGGAGAAGAGAAACATTGGCATACTAGTCAGTAACAGTGTGCAAAATTGTATTTTGCATTGAAATATAAATCACCTCTTATGTTGGGTGTCCTACATGTGTGGATGTTGCTGCGTTATATAAAACCATTTGAATAGTTTTTTACATTTTAGAATAGGGTGCCTCGTGACTGTCTACAATTTTAAAGGGTGCCTCGGGGCTGTCCATAATTTTAAGGGGTGCCTTGACTGAAAAAAGGTTGAGAAACACTGGTCTAGGATGTCAAAGCACTCCCTTGCCCCTCACTCCCCTGCCTTCTTCAAGGTAACAGACATGGCGACTGCACTGTTCATTGTTAACTCTTTCCTGTGAAGACTGGAATACAAAGCAGCATGCTGTTGCTGACAGGAGAGAGATCTGTATTATTTACATACAGACCTCTCTCCTGTCAGTGTTCCTTGACGATCGCCAGGTGCTGGTGGGGAATCTCCGGCTGGGACCGAGTGATCGACAGCTGCAGTCGCCAGTCATGGCGCGGGTAGGGCAACACGCGTGCACTCCCCATATATATATATATATATATATATATATACGTGATTTTGCGCAGCCCTGCCACCCTGTAGTAGTTCTGTTATAGGTCTCATTCTCAAGTCCTAAGCAACCATGGTGTGGTGAGCATACCTGCAGATATCTGCAGGATCCCAGGTGTTGCAATCGGCAGCAGTTGCTCAGCTTGTGCAGGATATATCCACACATCCAGCGGTTAATTGTGGTTAGGGCAGATGTGTACTCAATGTAGTATGTAAATAGACATGGAAGATGTATGTAGTTTAAAATATGGCAAATAAAAATGAGCACAGCTCCAAGTAAAATATTCACAATCACCTTTAAAAGGTCACTGCCATTTTACATTAACATTTACACATATTATTAAGTGTTAATCCAGCTAAAATATTTTATTTTAGTTAGATATGTATCAGTTGAATTTCACAGCAGTTCCTCATATCTATCAGAGATCTCTCCAGTCATCACAGAGAATTTATTCTTCAGGTTCAAATATAATTTATTTAGTATAAGGAAAAGATAACATGATGATTTAGACTCTGTGTTAGGGGGGCTCTGGAGAGCAAAGCCTAGAACTACTTTGAGGTCCATAAGAGATAATATGGGATCCAGCCCACCACAGCTACCTTTTACTCAATATCAATGTGGGGTAGACTAGGCCATTTAACTTCTAACTTTCTTGGTCTATTAACATCAGTAAATCTGTCAAAAATGTGGGCATTAAAAAATGTGCATGCATGAGTTATCTTCTTTGAGAACTACAATATATTGCCATAATCGCCTTTACACGCACATGGAATTTAATGGCATCACAGTCTTAGTCCATAGGGTTTAATATTGAGTTGGCCCACCCTTTGCAGCGTTAACAGCTTCAATTCTTCTGGGAAGGCTGTCCATAAGGTTTAGGAGTTTGTCTATGGGAATGTTTGACCTTTTTTCCAGAAGCAGGCACTGATGTCAAATGAGAAGGCCGGGCTTGCAGTCTCCACTCTAATTCATCCCAAAGGTGTTCTATCATTCTATCGTGTTCTATTGGGTTGAGGTCAGGACTCTGTGCAGGCCAATCAAGTTCCTACACCCCAAAGTTGCTCATCCATGCCTTTATGGACCTTGCTTTGTGCACAGTCATGTTGGAACAGGAAGGGGCCATCCACAAACTGTTCCCACAAAGTTGGGAGCATGAAATTGTCCAAAATGTCTTGGTATGTTGACGCCTTAAGAGTTTCCTTTGCTGGAACTAAGGAGCCAAGCCCAATCCCTGAAAAACAACCCCACACCATAATCCCACCTTCACCAAACTTTACATTTGGCATAATGCAGTCAGGCAAGTACCATTCCCCTGGCAACCGCCAAACAGACATGTCCATCGGCTTGCTAGATAGAGAAGTGTGATTTGCCACTGCTCGTCTCCACTGCTCTAGAGTTTAGTGGCAGCATGCATTGCACTTGGTGATGTAAGGGTTGGATGGAGCTGCTCAGCCATGGAAACCCATTCCATGAAGCTCTCTATGCACTGTTGTGCTAATTTGAAGGCCACATGAAGTTTGGAGGTCTTTATCTATTGACTCTGCAGACAGTTGGCGACTTTTGTGCACTGTGCGCTTCAGCATGTGCTGACCCCGCTCTGTCATTTTATGTGGCCTAACACTTTGTGGCTGATTTGGTGTTGTTCCCAGTTGCTTCCACTTTTCCACTGTTATAATATCACTAACAGCTGACCGTGGAATATTTAGTAGCAAGAGAATTTCACGGATGGAATTATTGCACAGGTGGCAACCTATCATGGTACCACGCTTGATTTCACTGAGCTCCTGAGAGCGACCTTTTCTTTCACAAATGTTTGTAGAAGCAGTCTGCATGCCTAGGTGCTTGATTTTATACACCTGTGGCCATGGAGGTGATTGGAACATCTGAATCCAGTGATTTTGAAGGGTGTCCCAGTACTTTTGGAAATATAGTGTATTTTCTGAAAGAAAAGGCTAGTTAGAATAAAATGGTGGTAGCTGCAATTTTTTATGCCACACGATATTTGCGCAGCTGTTTATCAAATGCAGGAAAAAATTCACTTTACACTTTCCCAACTTTTTACAGGCAAATGCTGCCGTCTCATCTCCACTTTAAACTGTCTCATTGCTATGCACTGACCTTCTGCAAAACTTATAATTAGTCAATATCTTTTTGTCTGTTTGTGGCAATTGATTCTCACCCTCTTTTTGCCTTTCTGTGATCAGAGAATCAATAATCTTTTATGACCCTTGCCTGTGTCTATGCCTGATCTGGCTTTGACACCCCCCCCCCCCCCCAACTCATTTGTTCCTTATCAGTTCCTAATTGGGGTGGAGAAAGATTGCTCATTTGATCATCTCCCTTTCAATGTAGACTGGCTTATGGGGAAGGTCACAGACGGGGTACAGTCACAGACGGGACATTGTCCTGCATGAGTGCATTTTCTGCTGGAGTGAAAACAGCAGTTGAACACAGCAGTTTAACTGAGTGCATTTTCTGCTGGAGTGTAAACAGCAGTTGAACACAACAGTTTAACTAAAGCAGGATAACTAAAGCAGCAAGAAGATACAACAAAGAACTGCACTCTGGATGGACTGCAAGCAAAACACCCTGGGAAACATCTACAAGTTTGATTCCCACTCCATCTACCTTTTAATATGCCCCCTCTACTCCTCTTTTCATATTACTATCCTCTGTTCTCAAAATATCATTTCTTTACCCCTCTGCTACACCTCAAAGCTTGTACATATCACCCTCACTTCTACCATCTCCCTACTACTGCTCTCATCCCCTCTTGCTGATACTTTGTTCACTTGCTGACCCAAACACCAGAACAGGAAGGCATGTGCACTCATGTACATCTTACTCCCATCTTACTTTCCTCATCCTCCTCCTAACCTCTGAGGATATCTCCCCGAACCCGGGTCCTCCAATATCTCACCCTCACACTAGGCACCCTCCTTCCTCCAGTAATAGCCGCAATCCACTCATTTTCATCTCAATCCCCATGCTCCTAAGAACCACCCTCCCTTTTTCATGTGCACTCTGGAATGCCCACTCAGTCTGTAAAAAGCTCACCTCTGTCCATGAGCTTTTTGTCTTCCACTCCCTTAACCCACTATAAATTACAAAAACCTGGCTTCAAGCAGCAGATTCTTCTTCTCTCCGCAGCACTTTCCTATGGAGGCCTCCACTGGACTCACTCACCCAGACCCAGTGGTCAGAAAGAAGGTGGAGCTGGTTTGCTTCTATCCCCACTGAGCACCTTCCAAGTCCTCCCTACCCCTCCCTCTCTATCCTTCTCTTCTTTTGAGACTCACTGCATTTGGCTATTTTCTACCATTTCTCTGAGGATTGCAGTGATCTATTGGCCTCCTGGACAGGTGTCACGCTTTCTTGATGACTTCTCTGCTTCGCTAGCCTACGTTCTGTCCTCTGAAATACCCACTATCATTCTTGGAGATTTTAACATCCCCATTAATGTGAACAACCCAGCTACATCCCAACTCTTCAACCTAACCTCATCTTTTGCCCTTAACACAAAGGACACAGTCCTCCATTCATTCTGGTGGGAATACATTAGACCTTTGTACTCCCTACAACCTCACCAACACCCCCTTTCCTCTCTCTGATCACAATCTCATCACCTTTACAGTGTCCTCATCTTCAAACACCTGTCCTTCCAAGCAGCAAACAATTAGCCACAGAAACCTTCACAACTTTAACCCTTCTCTTTTCTACCCTCAACTGATCGCCTCTATGACAGAATCACTCACCTGTCCTGCCCTGACCTGGCTTCTGCTGTCTACAACAGCTTGCTTTCATCCACACTAGACTCACTTGCTCCTCTAACTACACAAAGTATCAGGCCCTGACCATTACAACCGTGGCAGACTGACAACACAAGGAAATCTTAAGAGACTTAGTTGTGCACTGGAGCTACTGTGGCATAAAACCAAATCCCAGTAAGCATTTACCCTATATAAATCTGCTTTTTTAACTTACAATTCCTCCATCCATGCTGCCAAACAAGCCTACTTTGTCACTGTTATTAATACCTTGTCATCCAATCACGATCGTCTCTTCTCTACTTTTAACTCTCTACTTTCTCCACCTCCACCCAGTGACTCACTCACTGCTTATGAGATTGCCAATCATTTCAAAAACAAGATTGAAGCAATCTGTAGGGGCATCTCTACTGCACAGACATCTATCCCACTTAGCATACCTTATACTAAACCTCCCTCAACACTTTCCTCTTTTGACCTTGCTACTACTGAAGAGGTCACTAAAGTTTTATCAGAAGCACATCTTACCACCTGCCCCTTGGATCCTGCCCTCTCACAACTACTACAGTCACCCTCTTCTTCTATCCTATGCTCCATCATTCACATTTTCAATCTCTCCCTCTCTACTGGCTCCTTCCCCTCCTCTCTGAAGCATGCACAGATCACTCCCTCCCGCCTTCACTGGACCCCACCAATCTAAACAACTTAAGACTCATCTCCCTGCTGCCATTTACCTCTAAAGTCTTAAAACATTTAGTCTACATTCGCCTGAGCTCCCACCTCACCGACAACAACCTTCTTGACCCTTTACAATCTGGCTTTCGCTCACTCCACTCCACTGAAACTGCCCTACTAAAACTCACTAATGATTTACTAACTGCTAAAACCAATGGTCATCACTCCGTACTCTTACTACTTGACTGTTGACAATCCCCTCCTCCTCAAAACTGTTGACAATCCCCTCCTCCTCAAAAAACGTCACTCTCTTGGCTTCTGAGACTCTGCTCTCTCCTGGCTCTCCTCCTACCTACCGCAGCGCTCCTTCAGCATTACCTATAACTCTGTATCCTCTTTTCCACTTCCTCTTTCTGTAGGGGTCCCTCAAGGTTCTGTTGGACTCCTTCTCTTCTCCATCTACACCTCCTCCCTTGGTCATTTGATAAACTACCATGGCTCGCTATGCTGATGACACACAAATCTATCTTTCTATTCCTCACCTCACCCCTTCAGTCTCCTCTCACATTACTAACCTACTAAGTGACATATCGGCATGGATGTCGCTTCACTTCCTCTAACTAAATCTTTCTAAAACTGAGCTCATACTATTCCCTCCAGCTTGTGCCGCCTCCCTTGACTTCTCCATCAAGATCAATAATACGACCATCAGTCCCTCCCCTCATGCCAGGGTACTAGGTGTAATCCTAGACTCCCATCTGTCCTTTCAGCCCCAAATCCAATAGCTGTCCAAATCTTGTAGACTTCACCTCTGCAACATCTCCAAGATACGTCCATTCTTAACCTCTGAAACCACTAAGCAACTTATTCACTCCCTTGCTATCTCTCGCCTTGACTATTGTAACTTCCTCCTCATTGGCCTACGTAATCACAGGCTATCCCTTCTTCAGGCTATCATGAATGCTGCTGCCAGACTCATCCACCTTACCAACTGTTCCATATCTGCCATCCCTCTCTGCCAATCTCTCCACTGGCTTCCCATTGCCCAATGAATCAAATTCAAAACATTAGGAATAACATATAAAGCCATTTATAACTCTGCCCCAAATTCCATCACCAATCTTGTCTCCAAATATCACCCAAACAGTCCTCTCCGCTCTTCCCACAACCTCCTGCTCTCTAGCTCCGTTGTCTCCTCCTCCCATGCTCGTCTCCAGGACTTCTCCAGAGCTTGCCCCATTCTCTGGAAATCTCTACCCCAATCTATCCGTCTATCGCCTTCTTTGCCCACTTTTAGGCGATCTCTGAAAACCTATCTCTTCAGGGAAGCATATCCTGCCTTCAGCTAATAACCAAATCTTTTATTTCTCCTATCAGTTCATCCCCCACAGTTATTACCTTTTGTACCACTAGCCCCTCCCTCTTAGACTGTAAGCTCCAAGGAGCAGGGCCCTCCTAACCCTCTTGTATTGAACTGTATTGTTGCTGTATTGTCTCCCGTTATATTGTAAAATACAATATAATATAATCGGTGTAGAGCTATTCACCCTGAGGTCATCACAGAGGACAAGGGGGCACTCTTTACGTCTGGAAGTAAAGAAATGTAATCTCCAAACACGGAAAGGTTTCTTCACAGTGAGAGCTGTGAAAATGTGGAATAGACTCCCTCAAGAGTTGGTTCTGGCCAGCAATGTGGATTGCTTTAAAAAAGGCCTGGATTCTTTCTTGGATACAGAAATAACTTGTCCTGCACTCTATGATCCAGAGTAAGGGTGGATGGATGGAAACAGAACTTGAAAAATTCGACCACAAATGCATAGAAGGTTGTGCAGCTCTAAACAAGGCTGGGGAAGCCCGACCAGTACTGCAAAGTGAAACAAAAAGAAAGCGCACCAACCTTGCTCATTACCTCAGTAAACTGTGATTTTTTTAATTTAAGAATAACACTCACAAACAACAAAGTAAATCAAGCATATAAGTCCTCCAAGGAACTTTAGGAGTGTAGACCCAGTTCGAGTCACATCAGAGGGGTAGACTCTCAAAGTACGGCTTAAGCGTTTCGAAGGGGGTCCCTTCTTCATCAGAGCAAGGTTGGTGCGCTTTCTTTTTGTTTCACTTTTCTTTCTTGGATACACAGAATATAACTGTATACTATTATTTATAGGTAAAGTTGATCCAGGGAATATCCGTTGCCTCTCGTGGGCTTCAGGAAGTTATTTTCTTCCCAGCAGAAGCAAATTGGATCATGATTTGCTGGTTTTTTTTTGCCTTCCTCTGGATCAACTGTGGGTGTAGGATTATAACTTTTTTCTTTTTTTAATGGTTGAACTGGATGGACTTTTTTTTCTTTTTTCAACCAGACTATCTAACTATATAATATATAGCTGTTGGTGCTATATAAATCCTGTATAATAATAAATCCTGTATAATAATAATAATAATAATAATAATAATAATAAAAAAAATCAACTGTGGGTGTAGGATTATAACTTTTTTCTTTTTTTAATGGTTGAACTGGATGGACTTTTGTCTTTTTTCAGCCAGACTAACTATCTAACTATATAATATATAGCTGTTGGTGCTATATAAATCCTGTATAATAATAGATCCTGTATAATAATAATAATAATAATAAAAATCAACTGTTGGTGTAGGATTATAACTTTTTTTTTTTTTTTTTTTAATGGTTGAACTGAATGGACTTTTGTCTTTTTTCAGCCAGGCCAAGGGCGGACTGACCATTTGGAAACTCGAGCAACACCCGAGGGCCCGGGGTCAGTAGGGGGCCCCATGAGATGCCCCTGGTACCTTTTTCATAGGCTTTTTGGAGTTTGGGCAAGGACACAGGGGCCCCATGATCCCCTATCGCCCGGGGGCCCCATGAGTTGTCAGTCTGCCCCTGACCTCAACACATACTGCTCTCTATTTCTCTCAAAAATGTCTTAAATTTGTTATTTTTTTACTGTTTTTTCAGTTCATTCTGGGCATTTTGGAAGGTCTCCTGATGTTATCTTAAAAAGAGGCTTCTAAATGCAAATGCTCATAAACCCGAGCCCCATGAGTTGTCAGTCCGCCCTGAGCCAGACTATGTAACTATATAATATTATATATATATATATATATATATATATATATACAGTCATGGCCGAAATTGTTGGCACCCTTGATATTTTTCCTGAAAATCAAGTATTTCACACAAAAAAGGTATTGCATTAACACATGTTTTGCTATACACATGTTTATTCCCTTTGTATGTATTGGAACAAATATAAAACAGAGGCAGAAAAGCAAATATGACATAATGTCACACAAAACCCCAAAAATGGGCTGGACAAAAGTATTGGCACCCTTAACTTAATATTTGGTTGCACACCCTTTGGAAAACATAACTGAAATCAGTCGCTTCCTATAACCATCAATAAGCTTCTGACACCTCTCACCCGGAATTTTGGACCACTCTTCCTTTGCAAACAGCTCCAGGTCTCTCTTATTGGAAGGACACCTTTTCCCAACAGCAATTTTAAGATCTCTCCACAGGTGTTCAATGGGATTTAGATCTGGGCTCATTGCTGGCCACTTCAGAACTCTCCAGCGCTTCTTTGCCATCCATTTCTGAGTGCTTTTTTGACGTATGTTTGGGGTCATTGTCCTGCTGGAAGACCCAGGATCTTGGACGCAAACCCAGCTTTCTGACACTGGGCCCTACAGTGCGACCCAAAATCCTTTGGTAATCCTCAGATTTCATGATGCCTTGCACACAGTCAAGGCACCCAGTGCCAGAGGCAGCAAAACAACCCCAAAACATCATTGAACCTCCACCATATTTTACCGTAGGTACTGTGTTTTGTTCTTTGTAGGCCTCATTCCGTTTTCGGTAAACAGTAGAATGATGTGCTTTACCGAAAAGCTCTATCTTGGTCTCATCTGTCCACAAGACGTTTTCCCAGAAGGCTTTTGGCTTACTCAAGTACATTTTGGCAAACTGTAGTCTTGCTTTTTTATGTCTCTGTGTCAGCAGTGGGGTCCTCCTGGGTCTCCTGCCATAGCGTTTCATTTCATTTAAATGTCGACGGATAGTTCGCGCTGACACTGATGCTCCCTGAGCCTGCAGGACAGCTTGAATGTCTTTGGAACATGTTTGGGGCTGCTTATCCACCATCCGGACTATTCTGCGTTGCAATCTTTCATCAATTTTCCTCATCCGTCCACGACCAGGGAGATTAGCTACAGTGCCATGGGTTGCAAACTTCTTGATAATGTTGCGCACTGTGGACAAAGGCAAATCTAGTTCTCTGGAGATGGACTTGTAACCTTGAGATTGTTGATATTTTGCCACAATTTTGGTTCTCAGGTCCTCAGACAGTTCTCGTCTCCTCTTTCTGTTGTCCATGCTTAGTGTGGCACAGACAGACACACAATGCAAAGGTTAAGTGAACGTCTCTCCTTTTTATCTGCTTTCAGGTGTGATTTCTATATTGCCCACACCTGTTACTTGCCCCAGGTGAGTTTACAGGAGCATCACATGCTTGTAACATTCTTATTTATCCGCAGTTGTGAAAGGGTGCCAATACTTTTGTCCAGCCCATTTTTGGAGGTTTGTGTGACATTATGTCGAATTTGCTTTCTTTCCTCCCTTTTTTTGTTTTGTCCCAATACACACAAAGGGAATAAACATGTGTATAGCAAAACATGTGTTAATGCAATACGTTTCGTGAGAAATACATGATTTCCTGGAGAAATATCAAGGGTGCCAACAATTTCGGCCATGACTGTATATAATATGCTGTTGGCGCTATACAAATCCTGTATAATAATAAAAATCAACTGTGGGTGTAGGATTATAACTTTTTTTTTTTAATGGTTGAACTGGATGGACTTTTGTCTTTTTTTCAGCCAGACTAACTATCTAACTATATAATATATAGCTGTTGGTGCTATATAAATCCTGTATGATAATAATAATAAAAATCAACTGTTGGTGTAGGATTATAACTTTTATTTTTTTTTTTAATGGTTGAACTGGATGGACTTTTGTCTTTTTCAGCCAGACCAGGGGCGGACTGACCTTTTGGAAACTCGGGCACCACCCGAGGGCCCGGGGTCAGTAGGGGGCCCCATGAGATGCCCCTGGTACCTTTTTCATAGGCTTTTTGGAGTTTGGGCAAGGACACAGGGGCCCCATGATCCCCTATTGCCCGGGGGCCCCATGAGTTGTCAGTCTGCCCCTGACCTCAACACATACTGCCCTCTCTGCTTCTGCTTTCTCTTTCTCTCAAAATGTCTTAAATTGTTAATTTTGTACTGTTTTTCAGTGCATTCTGGGCATTTTGGAAGGTCTCCTGAGGTTATCTTAAAAAAGGCTTCTAAATGCAAACGCTCATAAACGCGGGGCCCCATGAGTTGTCAGTCTGCCCCTGAGCCAGACTATGTAACTATATAATATTATAGGCGCTATATAAATCCTGTATAATAATAATAATAATCAACTGTGGGTATAGGATTATAACTTTTTTTTAATGGTTGAACTGGATGGATGGACATTTGTCCTTTTTCAGCCAGACTATGTAACTATATACTAATATATATATATATATATATATATATATATATATATATATATATATATATAATGTTGTTGGCTCTATATAAATCCTGTATAATAATAATAAAAATGAAGAAGAGGAAATAGTTCTCCTTCTGTCTTGACATGGGGATCTCCTCTCTCCTGTCCTGACAGTGGTCAGATCTGGAGCCTGCACCACCCAGCGGTGGCCCGGCCTTGCAGGGAAGAGGCACGTCTACAGCGATGCTGGGGATGCCAGTTGTCATGTGACGATGGGCTGTGCAGCACACGAGGAAACTTTCAGCGTGTATTACTAATACATCTGAACACCGGGGCTCCTCCACTACTAGGACTGCCAGAGGATGAGCACACATCTGCTCCAGCCTGTTCGATCCTGGCAGCACGCGGGATCCCCATCTTCTCCTCTGTCCCTCTAATACCGCAGGAACTGTCACAATACAAGGAAGGGGGGGAAACAAGAAGGATCATCTCTCGATCTGCAGGTTGTTGCGCTGAGTTTTTTTTGTTGTTGCTCAGATCTCCATTGATAGAAGAGATGAGAGGGACACATGAGGAGGAAGCCAACACCTAATGTGACTTTGATGAGTGTCCTGTTGAAATGGCTTTGAATGATTTGTTTGGCTGATTTTGTTAAAGTGTCAGAAGCAGCAAGTTCAGACAGGATCCAAGGATGCAGAGATCGGCTGCGAGGAATATGTTGCAGATGTCATCTCTACTGATGCTCAGCTTGGCAGCAGCGTTTTCCAGAGGTAAGGAGGAGACTCTCCTGTCTACTTACTTCTTTATCCCAATTAGCTGGCTCCTTCTTTAATGGACCCAACACAAAAAGGGGGGGGGGGGGGGGGCACTTTGCAAAGTGCACAAGCTGGGCGATCACTTCCATGAAATACACCATTGCCTTTGGTAGGATGATCAATAAAATAGTTGTGATGGAGCCCCATTGTAGTATTGATTTGAGATCTGCAATCCAAGCCTCCTGTATGTTATATATCACAGATCTAGACACCACAGATGCAGCGATCACAAAGTAATTGACACCCCAATCCAGGAGCTGCTCATACTAGAGTTGCATTTTCTTGGACAACTTTGGCAGCATTGCCTTCTAGGTTTTGTATCATTCCTTCTATGCTCTTGCCTAGAAATACAAAGTGATTTGCTGCATAATCATGGCAGGGTGTGTGAGATGTTCTCTAATGGGGGGAAAGTGACAGCAGTGTGTTTATTACTGGATACAGCAGTGCTTTAGTGGCTGTCTTCAGCAGCCTGATGTTGGGAATCATTCAGACAGTGGTGCTAGACAACACAAGAAGAGCATGCAGTCCTGCATCCAGGCAAGGATGCAGAGGACTGGTGATCACAGTGCTGCTATGTGCTCTGCTGCTCTACATCACAGTGCTGCTTTTGTTTATTTGGGTGGCTGCAGTTCAGGTGTGCTGGCTCCATTCAGCTTCAATTTCCAGCTCCATTCATGTCCCTGCTGCCAGTACTGGAACGTCATCGCAGCCTGTGACACACAAGACTTGAACTAGGGAAAGAGGCTGACTTATTTATTCACATGGCATGTGGGTGAAAGTCTGCTAACCAGAGCATCAGGTCATCTCCCAGGGTGCAGCAAGGCAGTCAAAGGGTTATTGCGATAAAACAAAGTACATCTATATCAAACCTCTATGATTGTGATATAAATTGGCTTTAGATTTGTTTTATAACACTTAGGGGGGTCTATTTATAAATGTTTTCACATAACTCTCACCCAGGATTTGCACATTTTATAAATAGACTCCTTATGTTCTAAAATTATTATGGCTGCATGAATCGCATATGAATTAGGCTTCTTTCACACGGGCGGTTGTTCTGCTGCTTGGAAATGCATGTTTATTTTGTAACTCCAACACTCCTAGCACAGAGATCACTTGCGCTTGTACATTGCGTAAATCTGTGATTACATGCGTTTACATGCAGCTGTGTTTAGCTGCGCTAGTAACTTCTTGCCTTTTCTAAAATGTTATGGCTGCTTGAATCGCATATGAATTAGGCTTCATCACATATGATTTAGGTTTCTTTCACATGGGCGGTTGTTCTGCCACTTGTAAATGCATGTTTATTTTGAAGTTCCAACATTCCTGGCACAGATATCACTTGCGCTTGTACATTGCGTTTATCTGCAATTACGTGCGTTTACATTGCAGCTGTGTTTAGCTGCGCTAGTAACTTCTTGCCTTTTCTATAGCATCTATTTACTTTTTTTTTTTTTCTTTGCGATTGACTGCGTTTATGTACAGATAGCTGCGGTACACTGCTCCTGGACTCTGTCAACTTTATTTTTCCTAAATGCATAAAACTGTATGTTGTGAAAATGTTGCTAAACGCAGTGTGTGAACGGAGCCATAGGGATACATTGTCTGCATTTAGCTGCAGTAAATAAGTTCCTCTAACTGCAGCTAAAAACTGAAATCTAACCGCCCGTGTGAAAGGGGCCTTAGATTTGATTTGTAACACTTAGGGGGGGTCTATTTATAAATGTTTTCACATAACTCTCACCCAAGATTTGCACATTTTATAAATAGACTTCTTATGTTCTAAAATGTTATGGCTGCATAAATCGCATATGAATTAGGCTTCATCACATATGAATTGGGCTTCTTTCACAAAGGCGGTCGTTCTGCCACTTGTAATTGCAAGTGGTTTTATTTTTGAAACTCCAACACTCCTTGTACAGAGATCACTTGCACTTTTACATTGCATTTATCTGCGATTATGTGCGTTTACATGCAGCTGTGTTTAGCTGTGATAGTAACTTCTTGCCTTTTCTATGCTGCTATATACATAAATTTTTGTGGTACTGCAATGAACTGCCTTTATGTACAGATAACTGCGGTACACCGCTCCTGGAAGCAGTCAACTTTATTTCTCCTAACTGCATAAAACCGTATGTTAGGAAAATGTTGCTAAACGCAGTGTGTGAACGGAGCCCATAGGGATGCATTGTCTGCATTTAGCTGCGGTTAGAGGAACTTATTTACCGTAGCTAAATGCAGACAATGCATCCTTATGGCTCTGTTCACACACTGCGTTTAGCAACATTTTCATAACATACGGTGTGTGAAAGGGGCCTTAGATTTGTTTTGTAACACTTAGGGGGGTCTATTTATAAATGTTTTCACATAACTCTCACCCAAGATTTGCACATTTTATAAATAGACTCCTTATGTTCTAAAATGTTATGGCTGCATGGATCTCATATGAATTAGGCTGAGCAAATTTGCAGGAGCCAATAGTAACTCAACAGAAAAAAGATCTCTTAATACATTGAGTTTGGTTGCTATGCAGCCATTGCACTTTTCTTTGATTTTACTTAACATCCGTGTTCTCAATGTTAAATGCTGAATGCAGATATAATCTTCTAGCTTTTTTCTAATTCTTTCCTGTACCAAGTACTGTACCTCTTAAAGTGTTACTAAACCCAGGACCCTGCATTCCCTATATCTGGTCTCCCACTGTACACAGAACATGGAATGTAATTAGTTTAGTAAATTTAAACTGCTAAATACCTTTTCTCAACAGCAGTTAAGGCAGTCTTGTGACTTCTATCAGTGTCCAGCAGAGCACTGGTTAAAGCTTGTAGGAGGAGTTTTCTTTCTGCTCTATGAGGATGCAAAACCCCTGACCTCTGTCTGGACAGTGCTGATTGGCCCTGTGCTGATCACATGCACTCTCCCAAGAAAAAAAAAAAACTTCTCTAGCAATACACACTAAACTGAGAATGTGCAGAATGGCTGCCTTATCAGGAGATAAGACATGGCATTTGAGCAAGAGGAGGAGCAGAGAAGACAGGATCAAACGGGCGTTTTACACAATGCAGAGGATTAACCCCTTAGGTTCCACAGTGAGTATAACCAGCATATTTTACTGCATATACAGACTGATTTTGCTGTTGTGGGTTTAGTAACACTTTAACCCATGTCAGCCTTTACACATCAGTTGGCTTCTATACCGTATTTTTTAAATAAAATGTCAAGTCCGCTCTGACTTGCTGTTAGTCAGTTGTAAAGAATAATTGTCACTATCAGAAGTTTGAACTTTGTGCTTTTGTACAGTTCCAGCTTATTTGATATATGGCAGGAAATCATCATTTTCAATATTCCATTTTTACATTTCTTGCTTCATTGTGCAGGCTCTTGATATATCTCCCATGCTCAGTGGGAATAATTCATATGTTGTTTCTTTATTATGCGGTAGCTGTAGACACCAAGGACTGTTGTGTCTTTGCAAACGTTCTCTAGACAAATGTAGGTTCCTGCAGACATCTTTAGATAAATCACCATGGCAATGTGCATAGGATTACAGTTTTCCCACTGGACGCATGGGCTACCTCAAAAGCCTGTACAGACAGAATGGGACAACATAGGGAGTGCAGACCTTTATTTAAAGTTGATTATCTCACTGCTCTCTCTGCCTTACAATTTGTCAGGATGATGGACTTGAGCACGGTGAATTTCTATCTAAAAGCTGCCAGCTGTAAGCAACGTGAACTGTATTTTAAAATATGCATATGTTTAAATTCCTTGTGAATAATAGAAAAATATACATTGTTAAAGTCAAGGTAGCTGCTGCTGGTGTTCAAAAA